TCAAGGGGAGCTTTTTTCAGATTGAGGCTTATTTTGAGTGACGCTGAAAGTGGTCATGTTGACACATCATTCAGGGTTTAGAGGAGTGCAAGAAAACAAAGTAGTGAAAATGCAGAGTTAGGTCAGAGGTGAAGAACTGAGGAATCAAAAAGTGAAGCAGGAGATAGGTATTGAAAAATCTCACAAGAGAGAGAATTGCGTTGAAATGCATGAAATGTCCTGAGAAAGACTGTGGAGTCAGCATGAGACCCACTAAAAAGAGCTGTGCACAGGAAAGCAACCATTCTGGCTGGGAAAGAACTGTGTCGGGAAATAAGACTCTTTGCCTTGTCAGGTGGATACTTTATTCTACTTGGCATCCTCAAATGTTTTTTTCTCCATAAAAAAATTAAAAAGTCAAGAAAATCTCCTAAGTTTTGACAATAAACTGATAGTTAAAGGACAGCTTTAGATTTATGATATTGTTTAAATCAAGTCCAATCAGTCCACAGACTTGAATATTTTATGAGTTCTCCAACAGCAGGGATATTGGCTGCTCCGGATAAAATTAAACTCATTTGTTCCTTTCAGTTCCATGCAAGCTGCATCCTGCTTTGCCATATTTGACTTCCATTAAAACACTACTAGCACACTGTTCCACCTCAAAATGTTACCTGTGGTTCAAGCTTCTTTTCCCTGACGAGTGACACAAACCATCCATGAGGTAAGATATGGACTTCTGTAGATTTAGACAGAAGTAAGTGGTTCTGATGATACTTCTGATTTTTAAATGATGGAGATGGACATGAAGGAAGACTTCATGTGTTCTCATTCAGTGCCACTGGCACACAGTACCAATGCTCTCAAGGCTGTACATAAGGTTTCTTGCTGTACCTCTAGAGCATCTGGGAATATCGACACCCTTCCCTTCACTTCTACATTTTTCCCTTCCCCTTCTCCTTCTCCAAAAAATCCAGCACTCAAACCCAACTTAGCACTACATCCATAATGAAAAGTAGTAGCAGGTGTCAGTTCCTGAAATCTCTGTCTAAAAAGTAACAATTAAGGTTAATGCTGCATTGTTGGTCAGTAACATTTAATTCTGGAATTTTTTTAGGCTTCAAGCATTTCTCTGCAAGAAGGCAGAGGCACATGTGTAAGAATTCCAATGATCTTACTGTGGACAACAGTGCTTCCTGCTATTCTTTCTCATCACTGGAAGCAATAAACTCCCTGAAAGCAAAACTGTTGATCCAGGCCAAATTTGTGCTGTGTTCCAGTTCTTCTCCTAATGGCTAATACTGTGGTCATAGGCACTATGATTTTCTGCAGTTGAGATATCTTCTAGGTGAATGGCTAATCTTTTATACAAAGCTTCATTGCTAGTGTCCGAAAATAATAACGTAGCCATTGCTTTCTCCACTGTATGCACCCAAAATGAAATTTCCCTTTGATGATCTTGAGCTGGAACATGATCCAACATAGGGTACTGAATGCTCTATTCACCCACCCACTTTGTGAAAAACTGCCAGCTCCTGACAAATGCTTGTAGAATCTTATTTAGAGATTCTCTACAAATAAAATAATGGATGTTGCAATTTACAGTTTCTTTTTCTTATTCAAGAGGTTATCTAAGAGAATATAGAAATATTCTCATGTTTCCCTTGGAAGACTTCTTACTCTTCTGTAAAGAAAATCTCTTCCCTGCTCATTGGCAAACAGGATCATCACTTCCTTTTCCATTGCTTCCACAGTTGGATGGCAAACTAGTGCTTCAACTACTCAGCTGTCTCAGACACTAGTGTAATGAGTTTTTTAGAATTTGAGCTCTGTTGACCATGGAAAAATGGTGAAATTTGCAAAGTCAAATATTCTGTTCAGCTTGGCTTCCACAATTTTTAAAATACAGTGAGGTATTATCTTTTCCCCCAGAATTCCAGCACACACACTATTTGTAAAAATGAACTTGATCTGAAGGTAACTTATAATGGTGCACTGAAGTAAGTTTATACTTACAAGATATCTATGTCATTTGTAGCAGAAGCTGAAGAGAATGAGAAAAGCAATCATATGAAAAGAAAGAACTGTATCACACTGGTGTTCTCTGGAAAATTGACTCCCTTCACAGGAATGCTCAGAACAGAAATAGAACAAGGTATATGCATCCCTTGAGTATAATAATGTTGATGGGTAAAGAAGAAAAGACCATGAAAAAAAAGAAGTCTTCTGAGCAGGGTTTGGATGATATGTAACAAAGTGCAATAAAACTTGAGCAAGGAGGAGAAAAATATGGAATAGCTGCTTGTTATGAACAATCTCTGTTCTCTTTCTCCAATACGTCATAGGACATGCTGAGAAATGGTGGGTAATTAAATAAGATGGCATCATTATATGTATGCACATAGGAGTGAAATTACAATTCTACTTCTTCAGCAGTTCCAAAATTTTTAACATCTGAATACAATTTTGCAAATTTTAGGGTCTTTTTTCCAACAATTTCTGTGTGAGATACATATATCCGCTTTAGTGTTTCATCTTAATGAGATTTAAAAGCTACTTAGTAATGTGTTTTGAGTCCTTGTAGTTCCAATTTTCCCTTTTCTCCATGAAACAGGATGAGTTGAATCATAAGAGTGTTAGGTGTTATGGAACATTTGAGACTTAAATGGAAAATAATAAGAAATAATTTGGGGAGATCTTGAAATAATTACAAGCATTAGATACATAAATTTACAGGAAAGTTTAAGAATTAAAGTAACTGTTAGGATAAATGACTCTACAAGCAAGCATTTAAACAAATGAAATATTCTGAGTTAGTTTCAAATGAAGGACCAGTGGGAATGCTAGTGAAGCCACTGTTTCAGACACTTGGATGTAAATTTCTTTATGAATTGTTGAATAACATTTCAGTTGGATTTCTGATAGAGGGTTATGCAACACTTTTTTGGTCTGTATCAATTAACCTGGTGCTTTATAAAAATACAAGAATAGGATTCTCAGTTAATTTCAATATTTTATCACACCTCTAGATTAATGTTTGTATAATTTTTAATGTGGTAATTTTAATAATTAAAAAATTAGAAAACCAGATGGAATTACAAAACATCAACAGATTACTTAATTAACTTTTGCCTACTGGGATAAATAAAACATACCACAGAATATATCAAAGCAGACACCAATGAGACACTATACACCCATTAGTATGCAGGAGTTTTTCTCTTCAGATAGCAGTTCTTATCAGATGTAAGCATATGCCTATCAGTCTTATTCAATAAACCCAGCAACTCCTCATGTTATAATCCACAGCATACAACATCATGGCAAAAATCTAAAGAAGTATACTATGATGCTTCCCATAGACCAGTGAAATCTGCCACCAAATAATGTGAGCTGAACAAAAAGTGAAAAAAATAATTGCTATTATTTTATGAAGGAGTATGATATGTAAGGTAGTTTGCAAATACTAACAAACATCCTTCAGGTGTGCAAGAGTGCCTTAAAACAAAATCAATAAAAATACCAGATTTTAAAAGTGTTGTTGCATTTGTCGAATCATGTTACAAATATTCTGCCAGTTCTATTGCATGATATGTATTACATACATGGGTAAAAATATGAGTGAATCAGATGAACTGCAGATCTGTAAACACATAATAATATAAATCTTCTTTACTTATATGAAAAGTCCCTTGAATATATTGCAATTCTATGTAGATTTTTGTAAATTTCTTAGTATATTTTGCCAAGATGTGCTCTGAAATAAAATTTTTTCCAAATAGGATTCCAGAAGCTTTACAGATCCTTCATTTGGCCAATGAACTCTAGCTGATGACCTCCAACATTCCTAGAAAAACTAATGATAATTATTGCACACCAAATACGTGCCTAAATGATGTGCACTGATACCTTTTTATTTAATAAAAAATGTGTCACCATATATATGTGCATACATTTGGTTATTGCTATCAGAATTAACAGCTTGCAATTTAACCCCATCTTATTAGAAACAGGGCTCAGCAGACCCACGCAAAATGAAATGAATACTTGCCACTGGCTTTACACCAGGCTTCAAGACAATGTGTTTGTTAGTACCTTCAGATTAATACCAGTTAGGTTTTGAACAGTTTCAATCTCATGCTAGATGATTTAAACCAGATGAAAATAGAAGTGTGTTACCCAAAATAAAAGAATACAGAAAATATAGTATTGTAGTATTTACTGAACAAAAAAACAAGTAAAAATTGTGACTCTTTTTTTTTGTTTGTTTTTAAACATCATTAAGTACCAAATTTAGGCCATACAAGCATCAACAAGAAATGTAAATAATGTACTGTTAAGGTGATAACTACAACTTTTTTAAACTGCTTGAGAACAAAACCCACAAATGTTGCATACCTCACTTTAAAATCATTCAAGTGCCTTGCACAGTATGTAAAAAATTTGGTAGTCAATGACTGCCATGAAATATACATACAATACCTGAATTTTATATTTTAGTAGCCCAGGCCTGGATCATCAAAGTATTTAGGTTACCACTCTGCATGGAAGCTCTGGGTCTTGGTGTATATCAACCCCTTCCATGAATGGAGTAACTGTTTTTGATGGTGTGAATTTATAGTCTTGTCTTTCCCTATACAGGGAGGGAAAGGGTCGATATTAAAGAAAGAATGGTTCCAATAGGCAGAAAGTTTATGGCACTGCAACTACATGAACCACCTTCCCTACACAACATAAAAATATTCTAATATTAAGGATTATTTTACAACTCAGTGGAAATATGCAGTAATGCAATCCATTTCCTTTGTCTGGATGACAAAAATGCAGTCTTAACAGTCACAAGAACCCGCCTTGTGTTAGCTATAAAAAAAAATATATTTATATATATATTTATGCAACTACTATGTGCATTAAACAAAACCACTGTATGAATCAGCAGGGTTCAATAACACTTGTATCTGAATCTCTGAAAGGGGTGCATTGAAGTCTGTGGTGCTTCTCAGTAATGACTCACAATGAAATGGCAAAGGATAGAAACCCATTTATTTTAAATCTTATTTTTTCATATCACATTGCCTAAGAAATGGTCCATAAGCTCTCTGGCAGCTAAAAGGATCTGTTGCCTTTACTTCAGTCTCCTGCTGAGAAATGAAAGATATCCCTTAAAACAAATCTGATAATTCATTTTTTAGTGAACACTGAAACTGAAAATCAGCCCAACTTCACTGTGAACTCCCAGGAAATAATTTCACCACCGTGAAAATTCTCTGTTGTCAGCAATGTACAAGAAACGTAATACTCCTGGAAAGCATTTACATTGTGACTCACTCAGGTGGGTAGGTTAATTTAGAGTTGAAAAGTGTGTATATTTCACATCTGCTTATAGAAATATTGGTAAGTTCCTTTTTTCTTCTTTACCTGCATTGAGATACTATTCTCAATCACCTGTGAACACTATTCAGTGCCCTTTGCACTGAAACAGTACAGATTTGTCCCTCAGTCTTTGAGATAACAGAGAACACTTAAACCAAAGGGCAACACTCTTGTGCACCAAAGCTTTATTATACTTCTGATTACTGTGCATCCCCACACCTAAAGCCAATAATATGGCACTTGTGCCATAGTTCTGATACTGTAGGTGTCCACTGACAAGTGTTCTGCATGAACCATTGTGTCTCAGTCCACTAACAAAAACTACTGGGCAGTAGTAATCTGGTATCTTAGATAGTTTTTCTTCTTGGACAAAGCTTATCCAAAATCTTCTTTCTATCAGGCTACAGCAGCTTAGGGCTCCTTTTCTTTAAAGAGAGGCAAAGTAAATGTCTTACACCTGTAGGCCAGTACTGGTGTTCTGTCCCAGAAATTTTAGCACTGCTCTGACACGATGAACCCTTCTTTTTCTCCAACTGGTTCCACTTCAGCATAGGCAGGATGTCCAGATCCTCTTCTGAATTTCATTGCTGGCCATCTGCTTGGACGTCGCTGTAACAGCAACAACAAAATAAACTTTCAGAATATGAAGGGTACAACAATAAACAATTAAAAAAAATTTAAAAATGTCCTACAATTTTGATCTCTCATACTAAAACCCACTCCATGTAGTTGTTACAGGAATAGAGAAGTACAGTTCAGCAGCAGCAGAAGTCAGAGGAATTAATCTCTCTTTCTAAATCTGTGAGTGATGGCTGTTCTTAAAGACATAAATAATTACCACTACTCTTAGCAGTGAAGAGGATGAAATAGCTCTTGTCTAAACCACTTGATTATTGGATTTGTCACATAAAGAACTGCTGATCCACTACCCCCTAAAGGATCTGTCCAATGCTCTTCCTTCTTAGTTCTGCATAGGAATTTGCTAACATACTCTACGCTATGGAACAATGTCTAGTAGAGACGACAGAGACTGTAATTTTAAAATTATTTAGGACAAAATTCTGGCATGTTTATGCAGAACTGTCAAAATAATGACTTTCTGTTTCAAGTACCATAATATCTACTTGAGTAGTTTACTTTGATTGTTCACATAGAAGCTTTGATTGTTTACTTTGATTATTCACATAGACTTTTAATTTAAAGTCTTAAGAACTTTGGGTGCAAAAGTCTTAAGGAGTCCTAATCAATTTTCATTAGGATCTTTGATGACTGCTTTAAAGACAGCTAAAAGACAAAAGAAACAATTATTTTCTAGGGCAGATAAAACAATTCCTGTATTATTATGATGTCTCTAGGAAGAAGAAGTGCTTTAAACAATCTGTATTTTCAAACTGATTAATGTCCAGTAAGGCTCAGACTTTGGGTGACCACTCTGAGATTAATGTCAAAGGGAACAGCTTTCAGGAAGAATAGGGAAACTCCTTCATAGCAGAAAAGTAGTGAGCAGAAAAGCTGTCCTAAAATGATTTTTCTTTATTGAAAATTTTATCTGCCAAATATGCTGATACGTATCTTTTTTTTTTACTGACAACAGTTACAATCTGCTTGGAAGGAGGGCTAGAAAATACAGCAACCTATATAGAAACATTGCAGGAAAATGAGAGGAGAAACAGTGAAAATAAGTTACAGCCTATAATTTCATCAACACTTCAAAATCTAAAAATTTTACTTCATGATCTTTCCTCTGAAAATAAACATTGCATTCAATTTTCTGTCCTCATAACACCCCATTTGGATTGCCTTTCAATTACTAAGGATATTTCATGCTGCTAAGTGGTGGTGTTGGTGACCACAGAACAGCCACAGCTGTGATGTGTGGCTGGGACTCATGGTGCTGTGGGGCAGCAGTCACTAAAGAAATCTCAGTGAGTCTTGTTACCAACAAACACACATCTGTCTGCCGGTACAGCACAATATGTTCCTCAGTGATCATCATCGGAAAGATACAATATAAAAGCAACTACTTCCTTTTTCTCCTGTTGCAGGATCAGGTTACTTTTGAGGCGTCCAGAGTTAAATTCTGTTTGGCAGGTAATTTAAAATCCCAGGCCTTTCAATGAAACATCTTCCCACAAAGTAGGAAGGCAGAACACTGTCTTCTTTAATGGGTGTTTTTTCCTAATAAGAAAACTTAGTCTATTCAAACTTTGGAGACTTTTTTCTACCTAAGCTTGATTCAATGTGGTTTCAAAATTAAGAAGGACAGTTTGGTTACTGCTAAAGAAAAAGGGTCATATTCTGTTCTTAGGCTTGCTAAAGAAAATCAAGAACAATTCAATTAAATGTAAAGGATTTATTTTAGATTTACACTGGTACAAATGAGAAAGGAATTTGACTGAGAGCTCCCTAATGAAAAGCGAAAATGAAAACCCACTGGAAAACTAGCAAAAAAAACAACTAGAAACTGTATCAAACTGCAGCCTATAAGGATGAACTGAGCTTTAATCTACTAAGTTGCTCCCTAATTTAATTTTAAGATGTACCTATGATTAGTTACTTCTTCCTTGCTACACTGCTGATAGAAACTAAATCTACCATTTTGTGCTACTCTTTTTAATTGGTCTTTCCAGATGATTAGTTATGCAACAGATGTGCACCAGTTTTAATATACAAAGTCATACAACATAAACATGAGTTGTATTTGCAGAAATGAAGAAACAGACACAAAGGTCACTTCCTAATATTACAGTTACAGTTTTCTGTGGTTTCTTGTCACATCTGAGGTGAGATTTTCCCTTCCTAGTGATTGTTTTCTTTCAATTTCTTTATGGGCATGTGAGTAATGTAAGTGGTTGACAGTCTTAAAAGAGAGTGATGGTAAACTATCAATTCATTGTCTTGTGTAACCCCCCCAAACCTGTAAAAATATTACAGTTTTAATAGATAAAACCAAAAGTAACTTGACTGATATTGGGAAATACAAAGCTCCTTCAGTTACCAAAGCAGTTCAGGAAATGCCTAATGCATTCTTCCTTTTTGTTCTCTGGGAAGACTAGTAAGAAGACAGAAAAAAACCCCACCCTAAACCACCAAACCAGAAAACCACAGCAAAAATACCACCAAAACCAAATCAAATGGGGAGAAAGCAAGATGGGTATTTTAACTAATTCCTTATTTTTGTCATCCAATTTTAGCAGGAAAAAATATGTTTCTTTCTCTGGAATTAGAACACTTAAAGGAAATCCTCTGAGCTGTGGCTGGAGAACTGTAACTCCTGTTTCCTTTCAGTGTATTACAAAGCAGGAAAACAGGACTAATATCTTTTTCATAGGACTGAAACATCCTTGGGTTCACTATTTTAAGCAAAGAAATTGAGAGAAAAGCACTTTTGACCCTACATGACCAGGATGTAGAAGAATAATTTACGATACACATTGAAAAGTTAGCTCCTATTAAAGAACAGTAACATAAAATGAAAGAAACTTTATCTATGGAAAGGCAGGTCTACCTTTCACATTTCTTACACTATGCCTGTCTACACCTTTTTTGGTGGCTATGCAGAATATTTGATTTCCTACAAAGGCTAAAATATGTGTATTTACATGCATCTTGAAGTAGAGGCAGAATTTATACTATTTGTCTTACTTCTGAGGAAAAAATGAAGGGGATTCCACCTATGAATAAGACAGGGTAGCAACTGGAGTAACCTTTGAGTGTTGTTGCATGGGAAGGTCTAGGAGTGTGTTATTGTTGACTAGTTTCTTCTTTTGACATCTTTCAACATCAGGGAATTTTGAACCTTATAAGGCCTATTTTATCCTTGAAAATCATATGATCTCATTTAGACGTATTAAAAAAACCTGGAAATATGCAAATATGAAGCTATCCAAATTCCAGACCAATTCTCAAAACCCCAGAAAAATTGTTATGACTTACTCAAAAGGATTAAGAAAAAGATACAAAGCTATAGTGAATTCTTACTAAATGGCTAAATTTTAATCTCACATTATTCAACACCCATTAGTCTAAGTACACTTGTCCACTGGTAATCTACCTCTGCAGTCATGTCTTCTGCTTTCTCATGAGAAGTAAAGATCTTTCTGTCATGAAGTACCTTTCCTGTAACATGTATTTTTGCGCTCGAAGTTATCTGAAATTTGTGCACCAGTCTTTAATCTCTTCTAGAAACACCCAATTGATTTGGCAACTCATAGTCAGAAGTGGATGAGGCTTAAAATATCTGAAACTGTATTTCTAAAATGTATTTCCAAGAATAAGAAAAGACCAATTGCCTGACACCATTATTTTGAAGAAACTGTTCTGACATAAAGATTGCTTCAGACTTAAGATTCGGTAGGATCATTTACTGGCTTCATTTATTTTTCTTTTTGATAGAAGTACTTTTTTAAAGTATCATTTTGTGATTTAAACCACATCTTGCTATAACAGTTTCTGCAGTCGTACGTATATCTAAGGACCTGGCTGCTGAAGGATGAGAAATAGAATGCCTCCTTCCTCTCCACCTTTGACTTTTATTGTCAGTGTTGATTATTTATTTTAGTGCTTCTCCCTTGTGGCTGATTTGAATTTCCCTTGCTGAGCTGCTGGTTCCTGCTGAGCTGGATAAGCTTTGGAAAAAATAACTTTACTATCAGTACAAGGCAATGACAGCGAGATCAATGACAATACTCCAAACACCAGGACACTGCAGAACTTTGAAAGAAGAGAAAAATGATACCTGTTCTCTTCTTTTTAGTCATCATTTTCATTAAACACAATTCAACCTGAACGTCTTGACAAAAACTAATTGATGACCATGGCAAGCCTACTTCAAACTAAAAGTATAATCCCCTGTAAAATGGATACATATAGTAAAACCAATGGGTTGTATCCCAGAAGAAAGCAGTAGAGCTCTGTGAAGTCTATCAGCTGGATTAGAATGCTGAGGATCTCATTGTTTTTTAAAAAATCCTTCTTTCTTTTTTACTCTGTTTCCTATTTATTCCTCAGTTGTTTGAAGACATACATTGCATTTGTTACATTAATGTAGAAACCTGGAAATGGTGCATGGAGAACATTGTTGAATGTTAAATCTGGCTCTTATTTGTGATATGTTGTTATAAGCAGAGATGTATAATAGTGAGCCAGAAATGTCCATTAATTCCCTGAGCTCTGAAAAACCAAGAACTGCCTCGAGCTTTAACTATTTTCTCATATTACTTCCTTCCTCACAGCAGACAGGGGATGAGCAGAAGGTCAAAATCTTAAGAAACTCTACTGCTAGATCTGCGTGCCAGTGAAAGTTTCCAGATACTGAAATACAATCCCCTATATGGCCCAATAATTAAAAAAATACCTAATAATTAGTGCTTTCTCAGACCACTCCAGCTAGGGCTCAGTATCTGTGAACCATCTTCAGTCCATGCTAATACTCTCCATGTTGTCAACTTTACGTAAGACAGAGTTAAATGACAGGAATACAGATCTTTCCATGCTGGTTGGTCTTTAAGCTAAAAAAATCTTCCCAGCTTAATTTAATTTACTAGCAAAGACATAATTTAAGTTAAATCAGAAGGAGTCAAGGCGCATCCTCCAGGCCCTGATCACACACTATTATTTTATTTGCAAAAGATCTGCAGCTGTTCATTCCTTCCTCCCTCTTTTTCCTCAAGGTTACTCCATGGCTCCATAGCACCAGTTCAACTCTCTGTGTGGCCATTTAAATAGATTTGTGAAATTATTCATCTTCAACATCCAAGATGAAGTGAAATAAACAATAAAAAAGACATTGGTTTGTGTATATGTGTGATGTATGTGTTTATAAGTGTACATGTATGTTTCTAAGCAGCTGAATCAGCAAAATAAAGCTCTGGAATAACTCCAAGGAGGGTGGGAACATGAAGGCAAAAGCTATGACCTTTAAAATGGGATCTCACCTCTGAAGAATGTTAATTTTTAACCACAAGCACCCACACTGCTCTTCAGTGTGTGACATATTACCTACTATTAATACATACACAGCTGAATTCATTCATATTCTCACAACTTCAGAGTCCACATATATTAATAAGTTGGATTTGGTTTTGTATGTATAAGCTGAATACAAGAGAAAGGTTCTTTGCCTGAGGTTAAGATGATCCCAATTTGCAATGTTAGTTTAGACTCCTTAAAATCCCCTACCCACAGAGAATCAGCACAGAAAAATTTTATCCCGCTGTTGTCAAGCCTTTCAGGCATGCTTGGTAATGGTATCACTGTCCATATGGGAAGAAACACTGCAATGTCTGACTCCTTGCCTTCATATTGTCCAGCAATCCCTCTGCTGTCTTCTCAGATCATGTCGCCCTTGATCCCCAAAGGCAGAGCACTGGGATGACAGCTGAGGTAAGTTTCAAGCCTTAAAAGGACTTTGTTTCACTATGTAAGTTAGGAAGGTAAGAAAAATACAAAGTATGCGAGTGAAAATTTCTTGTATCATGTGCAACCCTTTTATCCACAGATAACTCAGTGCAAACAGGCAAGACATCTGAGTAAAATGTGGTTGGCCATATGCCTTGCTTTTCAATTTGCTAAATATTCCCTGGAAATTAATTGCTCTCAATTAATTCAATAGTTCCATAGTTCACACATAAAAGTAGATCCTTAAAGGTTAAAAACGTAAGAAAAAAAGAACATGAGGGAAAAGAAAGGAAGAAGTAAAATATAAAATACTACCAAAGCTGTAATCTGGTCCATAGCTCATTGAAATTTGAGCAAATCCATCTGGCTCAGCTGAGAATTTCTTCCCATCTCTTTATATCCAGCTCCAGATATTTATATCACTTTTTCTATAATCTGTATCACATTTATGCAATCCCTGACATTCAGGGCATCATGACTGGCTTCTTGTCCAACAACTCTCACATCCTGAATGCAACTATACCACATAGGTTAGTGAATAAAGGAATTGCTTTTTAATTGTGCTATAGTTAGCTTGTAGCTATATATGTTGTCGCTAGATTTCTGACATAAGCTTCTGCTTTGTTGAAAAAGTCATGAAGAACACTATTTGACATGAATGCTGCCTTCCAAGAATCAGTGCAAATCAGTTCAAAGTATACACAAGAGACAGCATTCCTCAAGGTAAGAGTACGTATGTAACATGATTTAAAAGGGAAAATTATTGGCAACTGAATCAAACTCAAGGGAGATAAAATACTGCAAGGATAATGATAAATAAATAGAAAACCAAAGCATGCAACATCTCTTCTGTCAGTCTGTAAGCTAATCTCTAGAAAACATTTACTCTTAGCTTTTAGAAAGAGCTTGCATTCATTGGAACTTTGATTGAAGCTCCCTTAACTTTAAAAGCAGATAATTCATTCTACCCTTAGGTCACCAGAGAAGTGTCCAACTTAAACAACATGAGCAGTCTGGAGTCTGGAAGAAACAGGAAAGCACTGCATTTTGATTTGAATTTTCTACACACAACAAAAAGTGGAATTTTTTTGAAAATGTGTTGAACTGTTTGGATAGCATTCTTTTAAAATTGCATACTATCATAGTCAAATTGAATAGCATAGGTATTCAAGACTTTTCAAGCTGTTTGCTCAAAATAGCTATTTTTATTCCAAGTGGGGCTGCACATGTGCATTCTGCTCAACAGCTATGAACAAAAACACTAGAGGAAACATTTTCTTCAGAATTTAAGAGTAAAAAAGTAATAGAATAATGTTACTCTGTTCTAAGACAATAGTTGCTTTTATAATAAATTGTATTTTTCTTGGCTTTGTGTGGTTTGTTTAAACTAGTGCACTTAGAATATCATTTAATGTTGTTCAGAAGGATTGCCTTGGTAAAGAGGGCAGTCAAAATGTGGGTGTATTTATCCTTATGTGGGGGAGCTCACTACATGACAAACATGAGTGGGATTTGAGAGGAGCTATGTGAGAACCTCAGTGAGGCAGTAATTGAATATTGAATAATATCTGCAGAGAATACAAGGAAGAAAGAGACTTGAAGCCTCAGATATGGGGTCAGTTTATTACATTTTTCTTTATTCGGTAATCAGTCATGACTATAAAACAAATCAAGTAAAAATCACTTACATAGCCCTTAACCTAAAAACCCCAACAAAATCTCATTGAAAATGACACTTTACAAAATCATGACAGTGTTTTAGAACTTAGGTGTAAAAAGAAGTTTCTCTGTTAGTCATATTACAGTTTTGAATGAATGTTGTGTTTAATGTTATATGATACCCCTGTAAAGTTTAAAACGAAACAGAAATGGGCCAGGTTCCTGTTCTTTCTTTTGACCAACCTTAGAGTTATATTAATTACTGATGATATATAAACTGATGCAGATCTTCATTTGGCTAGAAGACTTCATGGCAGACTACAGTGTACTCATAATTTTTTAGACAACTGCAGGAGGGAGCTGCCTGTCCATCTGTCACATCTTGTTTTAACTGTGCAGCTTGCTTTATTAATCAAGAGACTCATTCAAACCAGTATAATTTTCTGAAATATTTATATGCTTCTCATTTCATGACCAAGCCCATGGCAATTCTCTTGAGTTCTTTCTCAAGAATGGTAAAATCAGATCCACATTTCATTCATTTCCCATAAATAATGCAGTTTGTCTGCTGTGGTGTGTGGGCTATTATGTTATATGTAAGAGCTTAATCAAATATTTTTCAGTTACAAAAATGCAATAAAAATCACTTTTTGTAACACTGTTTATATCAGCTTTGCCTCATTATTTTTTGTACTGTAGTTTCAAAATGCAAGTTTGAGAAGATATGTTCTTCTTTATGTTGGAAACATGTAGATCCAATAGATTACTCCTTTATTTTAAACACAAAGCACATGCTTTTCCATTTTTTTCTAAAAGCCTACATTGCTTGCTAGAAGACATTTTAGCGTTGACTGCATAGATTGATTAGTGGCACCTAAAGATTAAATTCAGTGGAAGAGGTTTAACAAAACTGTTTAAGACACCACTGTTTGCATGATGAGTATGATATAAATAAATAAAGAAATAAATTAACATGCCCTTACTATATACTGAGAACAAAAATAAATAAATAAATGTGTATTGTAATTTAGTATTCTTCCCTCCTTTTAAAAAATGGTGTTGCCGTTTACTTAGTCTTTTCAATCACACCATGACAGATAAGAAACTTGCTTTAACTAGAAGGAAAGAATAGAAATTCAACCTGTGTGCAAAGGAAAAAAAAAGGACAAAACCTCCTCTTTTATATATGAACTTTAGTGGAATTTTGTTTGTATATATCAATAGAGAACTGGCTTGAAATGTTGCATAAACATGAAAGAAAACTATATTTTATTGCATGGATTCTGTTTCCTAATGGTTAACACAGTTACATCACTTGAGGCTGGAATACTGATAACAATTCATTTTGATTTTTGTCACTACTATTGCATCTAAGAAGTATATTTATTATAATATGATTTAAAGATGAATCATTCTGTTCATGTGCATGTCTCACTTCAATTCTCATTGCTGTCACTAGAATGAACTTCTACTTCCTCTATTCCTGGTCCAGGTTTTTACCTAAGAAATTCCTAGATATGTCCCTAGTGACACAGTGGTTTTGCATCTTCACTGTTGTCTAGCAGGAAGTGTCCAGGCTCTTAATAGCAGGGGAATACTACAAGTGGGGGTTACAAACAGTCAGCCTTTTCTTTCACATTTAGTAACTCTACACTTATCACAAGGTAGAGGAACACTGCCTAGTAGGAAAAAAAATCCACAAGTAGGTGTAAGTATTCATAGGCTTTTGAAGATTCAAACACCTATGGAGAATGTTCCTTTCTCACATTTTCAAGAACAGTGGAAGTGAACTAACTAAATGTCAGCATCTGCAGCATAGATGTCTGCACCTAAGGTAGCTATCTGTATTTGAGGGAGTAAAATGGTAATTTATCTAATCCTAAAGGAGATGTCTCAAATAGTTCAGATGACTTATGGTGTAAAAGAGTCTGTTTCTCTCTACACTAATAAAAAGAGCAAAAGAAGATGATAGATGTAAAAAAATTAGATGAAAAAAATCTTTCTCACACTTGGAGACAAAGTGTTAAAATATTTCTTCAAATGATGTAAGGAACAGCTAACACAGGTTTTCAGCTAAAAACTTAGTGGTCAGCTCTTCTGCAGAATTAGTAATGCACACTTTTCTTTCCCCCCTCCCCAGGAAAATAACAGAAAAAATATTTATCCTGAAACAAAATGCCAGTGCACATGAAAGGTGATGGAAAAATACTATCATGAGGAAAATGAAGGATAGGAAAGAGAGTTGGAGTGGTATCTGAGATATATCTTTTAGATATATGTGCTATCTAAAAGCAAAAAAGTTATAGTGATGGTAGTTAAAGAAGGAACTGAGTGACAAACATGCTAGGAGCAAAACAGTATCACTTGCTAGGGGAGGTCCATTTCTCCAAAGATTACACTATGAACACAAGAATACTTTGCAATTTAGTTAAGAAAGATCAGTTCTGGAGACCCCAAATATTTGAGCCAAGAGACAGGACTGACGACACAACTTGTTACTTTTGTCTTACCTCTATGAAGAAGAGACTGGCTGCTGACGTCGGATGATGATACATATAGACCATCACGAGGATGGCTGCAGCCACAATAAGGACCAGGACTAGAATGCCAACAATTAAGCCAGCATGAAGTGTTCCACCTTTCTTCTCTGCTGCACTGTCATCTGTCGAAGCTGCACAAAAAGAACACTTAATAGCACAGTAATGTATGTCTTATCCGTTCCATTCCCCAGATGGCAAATAAGCATTTGCTTTTTATGCGTTTCATGTACCTTGTTTTCTGCAGCCCAGGTTGGGAAAATATATTAGATGTCTTTTTCCTACAACTCATAATCTTAATGGAAAGACATTTTCAAATGTTTTACTAATTCTGACAATAAAATTAACGTCCTTCTTTTGAATATAAGTTAGATGTTTTGAAGTTCCTAATTACCTTCATAATGAATTTTGCCTTGATTTCCTCATAAAATTATTGCAATTCATTCACAGACAAAAAGTACTAATTGAATACATTTTGAACCTTCTATTTTTTTTTTAAATGTTCAAGTTGAGACATGTTACAAACCCTTTTGAGATCTAACTATTAAACACATTCTGAAAGCCTTATTCATTAACTTGTATGGGAGTTTGGAACCACCTTGTACAACTGAATCAGACAGTGGAAAGTGCAACAGATGGATGCTAACTGATCCTGAAATATTCTAATCTTGGTTTGAATGGAACACTCATCATACTGAAGTATTAAAGAAGTATTACAGAAGACCATCCATTTACTAAACTTCTTACCATCAGGAGAAAAGAGAGCTCTCTCTGTCACACAAGCAACTTGTCAGCAGTGCTTCCAAATAAGTGACTGAAAGTCTTTTAACAACACTGTAACCTTTGTGGAAACAGTCTCTCAATATATCAATCAACACCTGTAGAACTGCTTGTTCTTCAGCATACTCTTGCATAAAAGAAGAATTACTGTACTGCCCACTTCTGCAGGCAAAAGGGCCATTCAGAAGTCCTAGGTTTAAGAAACACCAGAAGAGCACTGGTAATTTGACTTCACAAACTTACATCATTCTCCTAATATTCCCACTGCTTTCTACTGTTCCGAAAATCCTTCTAATCACCTCTATGCCTTATTCCATACAGCACCTATCTCTGGTCTTGCTTATGAGAAATTTTCTTTCAATTCCACTTTTAAATTTCCTCTCACTATGCTTGTTTGCCAAGTTGACTATAAGGAAAACTGTTGATTTCTGCAGTCATCCTTTTTGCTGTGCCATCCCCCTGAACTATTTGTTTGGTAGTCTTAGAGTTCTGTGTTCTTTGAGGCCAGGGACTCCCTTTTATTTGTTCTCTGAAGACAGATATTGAGTTAGGGGTACCACTTCAAGTTACATGTTATTGTTATTAATAGTAACAACAACTATAAAAACAGCAGTAGCAATAACTGTACATGGTTTTTTACCATTCATCAGATTGGAGTAGAGCACTCCATGCTAATGTTAATAAAGAGAATATAATAGAAATATAATAGAAAATAATAGAAGAAAGGTATATTGATCCAGGTAGTGTTAAATGCCTTGCATGAAGGGCAATAAAAGAAAACAGGAACAGTTAATCTCAGTGTAACAGTTCATGCATCCACATATGGCAGCACTTTTCTCACCAGACCAAGGAAGTCAGCATCTCATCATCCAGTTGATTGCATGGCACCATTGCAATAATAGGGAGAAAAGGAAAATGAAGATGCCTTATTTTAGCCAAGACATAGTTCTAACTATTACTCCTGGTAATAGTTACTATTCTGTGGGGGTAGTGAAGGGATTCATGTACATTTGCTTTTGTCCCTGTTTCCTCAGTCTTGATTTGGAAGAGGAAAAACCTCAGTGTTGCTCTGTTCTTTTCCATAAAGTCAGTGACAGCTTATGGAGTAAGGACCTGAGTAACAGAGTCAGAAGATAAAGATTCCAGTAACTTGAGAGGCTAAAGTATGATGTGGGAAGCATTAATGCATCTAATAAAAAGTTGCAAGCATGATCCCCATTCAGGTATGGCCTAATCCTCAAGATATCTTTCTTTTTACTGCAAACTTCATGAGTACCTGTCCACACAGGAACTTCATCTTTAATTGTGCTGACTCTGAACATCAAGTTTGAGCTTAGGCATAAACAGGTCCCAAGAACCAGGCTTCTCCCTGCCTAAATCCTAGAAAGGGATTTACTTAGCTTTCTTAAAGCTTAGTTCACACAAAGGTATATAGGAGCTTTTGAAAAAGAAAAGTAGTGTCAGCCCTATTTGATTTTATCTTATTTGAAAATTTTTTTCAACACAGTACATACAGTAAAAATTGCCAGGCCATTCTTTTACACTGAAGCGAAAGAATGGAGATATTGCCTAGAATCTGGAGGATCTATTTTCAAAATTCTCACCCCAAGGGTCCTTGAAACACTTACTAGTATTTGTAGCATTATATAGCAAAGGATGTAAGATTCACGAAGGAGACAGGAAAGAAAGGCGACCTGAAAGAAAGGTTCCTCTTACTTTCAGATAGCAGAGCCTTTTATTTGATGTAGCCATTAATACTCACTTCATCCGAGAATAGATGAATATATAGAAGTCTTAGTTTCTGTTCATGCAGTGTAACAATATTTAGTACCATGCAAACGGAAATTAAGCAACTGAAAGGCCATCAGGAAAGGCCTGCTTGATTGTACATCCTCTGGGTTGGGCTATTAATTCCCAGTCATGAGCAGTTAGTTGTGTGAGTCACCCTACTGAGAAGTAACTGCCCCCCAAAAGGAGCAGAGGATTCATATCTTGTTTGTCTCATAATTGTCTTTTTGACAGCTTCATAGTCTTCACTTCAATGTCATATCAGTGCATCACAAACTGCTTTGTCGTTGTACCCATTTTCAGGCCGTTTTGCACTAAATGAGCAATTTGTATTGTTACTATTTTATGATTGAAGGCAGAACATCATGTTCTGCATATTAAAAAATGCTGGACTTCAGCAAAGGTCCTAAGCACTCTGTAAAGGTCATCAGTTTAATCCTTTTTGATCTGATATTTTCTCAGCTTTTAGCACCCGGCTTTGCAAACTAGAACACTGTCTCTTCCAAATAACACAGGTGACAACTGCCTGCCTAGATTTCTAATAGTCTAGGGTGGAGCACTGTGTGGACATCAGTGCAGTGATCAGAATGCCAAATGCAAAAAATAATGAAATAAAAGAAATGCTTTTCTTAAATTACAACAAGTGTAAGTAACTTGTAATTTCCATAATCAAGTTCAGTCCATTGACCCCCAGGGCTCAAATACTCATGAGAAATTGATTTCACTCTCTTTGCACAGAGACAATAAACAGTGTTGTCAACTTTGAAAATACTCTTTGCTGCAAAATCAACTGCCAGTTCTTTTAAAAGCCACCAAGGGAAACAGATGAAAAAACAAGGGTTCAGAAACCTTTCCAGGTGTAGAAATCTTACTAAGATTATCACAGCACATCTGCTGTTCCAGATAAGGCTAAACCCACAGGAGGCTTATGACCAAGCCTTTCCCAAAAGGAGTATTCTCAATGGAACTTTCCCCAAACTTTCCTTGTCTTGTGCTCAGAAAGCAATTGTTACATACAATATATTCTATATTTATAACGTCTCCCCAAACTCTTAGATGCACAAAACTTTTAAGCAGAAGGAGCATATTAACATCTCCAAGGTCAGTCTGCTTCTCAGTAGGTGCTGAATTACAGGACGGAAACAGCAAGTAGCTTTTTTCCCTGATATAAAGGCACAGAATCCAAAAATGAAATAACTACTCCCTTGCTGGAATTCTGTTTAAAAAAACAAAAGTGAAAACACAATAAAAATATTCTCATTGTTTGCAAAATAAACACAAATACTATATAATATTTGATTTAAAATTACTGTATTATGTCTCTAGTTACTGCTGACTTAGCTTCTTTTGGAGTAGGAAAACAAAAAACTTTAAGGAATTATGAAAGAAAATGTGGTCATGGCCCATGGGGACTGTAACACTGACTTAACAGAACAAAGTGTGTACAAACTGGGACTGCTTTAGAGTGTTTGTAAACACATTGTGGATACTTTCTCAACATTATTTTTCTCACAATTGCATGTTAACCATTGAGATCTGCAAAATAATGAAATAGATTGTTTTACATTATCTAAATCTAAGGATTACAAAGAGTTTCTACTGTAATAGTTTTATATATGAGAAACCAAAATTGTGATACATACATTTACACCTCTTATGATATGAGATGGAAAAGAGTTTAATTTCCAGAGATTAATATCTCTGTCTGTGACAGCAGAGATACGAAAAAGTTTTACAGGAAAACTGAGGAAAAATAGACGAACTTCTAGTACTTCCTGTCTAGAAAATTTCCTTTATGTAAAGTGACATGGAACAAAAGGCAAATGAGAGAAAAAAAAGGGACATTTATTTGTATAAACTTGGAAAATAACATTTTGCTATTCCCTGCAAAACCCATGTAATTCCTTTTTAGTCTTGCATTTTGGCAAAAAAAATCTGGAAAAACATAATTGGAATTGAACCTCAAATTCAAAGTCACTTATATACACATGTATCTTTAAGGGATAAAATAAGGGATACCTTATATGACTCTCCTGACTGACACAGAATGCCAGGGATATAGGTGATTTAAATAGCAGAAATCAGCCTAAAGATGATAACTCAGTACTGAGTTTTGTTCTTTTCTCCCCTCTTTTTATAAGAAGAACGAATTTTCAGGGAAAACCCCTGAATTTGTCACAAAGACATAGGGAAGGACCCCTACAATTTCTTCTCATATAGGAATGTTTTGTGATAAAATGAGTATTTGCTGTTAGGTCATGTGGAAGCAATTAGATGAATTTTTAATGTCCATCAAAACCCATGAATTTTTTAGCTGTTTGGTCAGATGAATATGAAACTAGGGATGAGAACACCTATGCAGTACTACTGGTATAGAAATTCTGGTTTAGGAAGTTGTCAGTGTTTCTGGCATGGTCTTAGTTTTATGGCAAAATTGGTCTGGGCACAAGTGCATGAAAACAGCTCCTACATATGAAGCAGACTGGAAAAATATATAGGTATAACCACATTCAGGTGTAACCATGTCTACAGTACAGACTTACCTATTCTTTTACTCTTATTACTT